CACCTATCAGACCCTTCCTTCCAAGGCATCATGGGGTAATGGGTGGGTTTCGTCTCCTGTCATCACATTGAGCACCGATTTCTTCGCGGGTAGCAATTCATACCTGTCGCAAAATACGTTTACTCAATGGGCCCTTCCTGCACGAGGCCATAGAGTACGGTCATTCGTCCAGAGCTTTCATAATAATTCTGGCTATTCACGTCGTCTGAGCCTGACATCCTGATGGCAGGGTCAGGGGGATGTCAAGAACATCAGTGCATTCATTACAATGCGAGGGAGCCTTTAAGTTCAGTAGAGCTGATCACCTAACACTGGAGACGTAACTTTGTCATGGCTTGCATTCGCGAGCAGGATGGCTTTTTCTGACATCCCTATTTGAATCGGTGAGTTCGATCAGTTGAAGTCTCTGAGGCATGAGTTGTCGAAGAAAGGTCTCCTGAATCAACAAGATCAGCGCAAAACGAAGTGTTCTTTGATTTTTCACCATGTCAGCTTTAGACGAGTGCTTCCATGGCTACGAATGGTGCGCATGTTTTCAAGCTCAATATACGCAGGTGCACATGCCTGTGAAGACGAAGACATAGATGTGCGCTGCATGCAGCTGACTCAATGCATTCATTAGCGCATCGAAGGTACAGACCGAGCTGGTGAAGCATTGGGAATGACTTCTCGGTAGTTGCTGCAGGTTTAGGATAATGAATTCTATTTCTTCTTAACCTGCTGTACACAAATGCCTGCGGTACCCAATACCCAGTAGGTATCCAATTGCCGAAGGCCGTTACATTGTACCTACTTGTTGCTTCTCAGATGTATTGGAAGTCCTTCGAATTAAGTGTAGTTGAACCACATGTTGGATTCTATCGGCACAGAACTAAGCGAGCATGTAAGACACAGGCTCATTAGAGAGCAATAGAAGGCAACAATATATGAGGGTTTCCCTCGTTAGCGTTTTGCACGTTTCTGTTCAGAATCTGTCACGCGTTTCAGTTCTAGGTCTCAGATCGGGCCAGTCTGGAGAGAAAATTAGCGAACTGAGTATTGCGTTTGTTATTGGTCTAATCTGGCCCGAACAAAGCATTGTTCCAGAGAATTATGATTTGAAGTCACTTCAAGCTCTAAGTTGTTTTCACGAGGTTATTAGACCAAGCAAAACTTTTTCAAAAAAATGATGATGATGGCAATTTCAAAATGATTTCGCCTGCGAACAAAATTGCTAATCCGCCATAGCCATAGTCATATTCGCAGATGGGGCAGTAAAGTCGATTGCGTAAAAATTCGGTGATTCAACATCTGTACTAAAAGAACTGCTTTGAGTGAAAGTGAAGCAGCTTTCTCAAAAGTTTTCCATCGAACATTAATATAAATCATAAAAATTGATCATAGATGTTTTAGCCATGCTTCATCCACTTCACGTCTTTCGCCTTTGTTTGGGGGTTCAGCAAAGAAAGTGCTCCGGCCTACAGCTGTCGTACGAGGTGTAAGGCTGTTTTGTTCAGGTAATGAATGCACCAGCTTCAGTTAATGCCTTACAATGACTGTCCTTTGTATAGTTTTTATACAGTCAAGGAGCCTAATTCTTATTGAAACCAGCGTGTGGAAAACCTTGTATAAGTAGTCATAATCATTTACTTCCTTGTTCTGTTGTATGCTTTGCCGGAATGTATCTATTATAATTATTCAAGGAAACCTCCCGTCGCACAAACGTGTGGCGTTACCTGCCTTGTCACCCACTATGGAAATGGGTACCGTAATCAGCTGGCAAAAGGTATAGATATCGAACTGCTCTGTCACACGTCCATATCACAATTTTATGTAATACTCGTTTAGAAAGAAGGTGATCAGTTGAGCGAAGGAGATCTCCTATGCGAAATTGAGACGGACAAGGCTACAATGGGCTTTGAAACACCTGAGGAGGGTTATCTGGCAAAAATCATCATTCCTGAAGGATCCAAGGATGTTCCAGTAGGGAAGGTAAATGTGCATGCCTTTGAGGTTTTCCTTTCCATAACCTTACTCCCTTTATTTCAGTTGCTTTGCATCATTGTTGATAGAGAAAGCAACTCTCCTTATTTCAGCTGCTCTGTATCATCGTAGACAGCGAGGACAAAGTGGCGGCGTTCAAAGACTTCCAGGATGATGGAGCCCCTACTCCATCACCAGAGGCATCTGCTCCGCCTCCACCACCTCCACCGAAACCTCCTGCGGAAGCTGAGCCAGCTCCTCCACCGGTAAGCGTAGATTTTCACTAATGTGAGCCTAACCTTCGATTACTTCTGTTCAGGTAGCAGAAAAGCCAGTCGTGTCTGCTTCACCTCCGCCTGCTCCTGCCACGGTTCCTCAAAGTGGGCGTGTAAGTGCTACCCCGTTCGCGAAGAAACTCGCAAGCGAACGAGGAGTAGATATTGGTGTGAGTGTCTTGGCCCTTGTATCTGAACTTCTCCAGCAATGCCTAATTTTTTCTCTACAGGCTGTGGCTGGCTCAGGCCCTGGAGGACGTGTTCTTGCAGCAGATCTTTCGAAAGCGCCTGCTCCTACCCCAACTACAGTCGCATCCGCTCCCTCTGTACCGAGCGCGGATTATACCGTTGGTGTCTACGAATTTTTGTGAAATGTTAGACCTTATCAGTGGAGCAGTACAGTCGATTTTGCCCATACGCTTAAATATGAGAATCCTTAAGCGTTGCAAAAGACGACTTTTTTATTCCTTTGTGGGCACAGATTTTCACGAAATTCAACCAGCTTAGAAGCTACTGCTTCATAATTTTTCCCTCCTTTCCTCTGCGGTTTCCGCTTTTTGCCTAACAGCATGTAAAACAATCGAACGTTAACCGAATGGAAAGTCTACTGCCATGCCCATGATATGCTTCATTTATTCGTCTAGTTTTTTAGGATATTCCTCTTTCGAATATGCGCCGCACAATTGCCAAGCGTTTGACGGCAAGTAAAACTACTATTCCACATTACTACTTGACGTCAGAAATCAATATTGATTCTCTACTCAAGTACGTTTGTTTTATGATAGCTACTTTTTCTTAACTTTGAATAGAAGCTTGAGATAGGTTTAAGTTATCCTCAAAAAATGTGCTGTTCGGGTCAATATTTCTGATTCTAATAGCAACTGGATGGCACCCGTATGCATCGAGCGGGCATAAGCCAGAATCAGATGTGTCCATATTGAAATTTTCACATACGATCTCTTAGCATAGGGGTTGGGATGGTAGGAGTAATCATCACGGCTTTAAAATTTACCCTGACCTAGCGTGTGTGTAGTGGAAATCCAGTAGGCAGTGTGGTAATTTTCCAGTTTTTGGGATCGAATCGGTTCAATAGCATTATAACCGAAAGAACTAAAGGAAGGTTGCTTTGAACGATGTGCACCGAGCGTGTAATGGAGCTCGGAGACCGTCTTTGGTAGGGCGCCAAGAGCCGGGTTGCAGGGTCGTCCTAGCCTTCTCTCATTCTAAGGAGTCTAAGTATAAGGAGCACACACTTTGTGAAAAGTGGAAACCAAAAGGCTCGAGTTCGCGATAACTTTTTGTCACAGGCTTAGTTCACGATAAAAATGGTTTCTGAGGGTTTTACTCGGGATGAACCTGTGCCCCCTAGGCATAGCACGTGGTACATTACCATGTCGAAAAACGAGCTCGACAGGGCATAATAAGGGCTCAAAATTAGCTTCGTGGAGGACATCTACCGCCAAAGGGTAGATACCAAGACGTTGCAGGCATGTAATTTGTACACCCTATTCCTTACTACCTCTGTAGGCCTTATGTTTCTCAAAATCTTTCGATTTTAGCGCTTTTTCCACCATTTTTGCTTTATTCTGCACCATAGAAGGATAGGAGCCAGAAACGAGAAGGAGTTAGCAACTTTGACCTAGCAACATCCCATTATCATAACAATCTGAAGTATATCCTTTTCGAGACGAAAGTTCCAAAAAGTAATCTACTGCAACAAAGAGGAATCGACCATTCATTTAAAAAAAAGCGTCCCATGAGAGCTTGGTGTTAGCCGGATCGCCCGGCTAACACCACGCATACCTTCCATACCATACATATTTTACATACGGTTGTGGACTATATTTACAGGGTGTCTCAAAATTATGAGCGCGAAAATTCAGAAACTTCTAAGTAAAAAAAATCTATCAAATTCACATTGCCTGCTATTAATCAGTTACATAAGAAGGTTTCCTTCCAATATGCATGGCTACTGATGTGGAACTCCCAATATTTTTAAGATGGAGGAGGCTCATTCAATGCTTCTTGCAATCGTTGACACACGAGAGGTGGAAGGGCATTATGAAATACTTTGAGATTTATATAATAACCGCATAGGAGGCTTTTAAACGATACAAAAAGGCGATTGAATCAGAAACAAACCAGGAAAGGTAGAAAGGCCAATGTTTCTAAAGATAGGACTATTATAATGGTTCGTCTGCCAGTTGGTCGGGATCCTGGGCGACCCATAAAAATGAAGTCGCAGTTGTCGCCATGGGGAAAGTCGCGCAGAAGCTTCATTGTCATTCCTACCTTATGCGGAAATCTGGCATTCAATTCCGATCTCAACAGTCACTGCAGGGCCAAAAAAATGCAGAAAGTCGCAGACCCAATTGAGTGATGACACGCAACCCTTCTCTGGCCGAAAAATTGTTTACCATAAAACTATCCTTCAGCAATCGAAACGTTCGCGTTCCAGAAAGAGACATCTAACGTGCAATCTCTCACAAAAATGTTGCTATAAGAACAGTAAAATAATGTTTTTTAAAGAAGTCACTGACAAGGGTAAAACGCTCGTGGATTCTTCAGTGCCGGCGTGAAAATTGACCAAGACCAATACTCAAAGAGCGTACTGATGGACGTAATACAACACTGATCCGACTACGCTCTCTGAAACATCTCGTAGTCCTCCCNCAATTGAGTGATGACACGCAACCCTTCTCTGGCCGAAAAATTGTTTACCATAAAACTATCCTTCAGCAATCGAAACGTTCGCGTTCCAGAAAGAGACATCTAACGTGCAATCTCTCACAAAAATGTTGCTATAAGAACAGTAAAATAATGTTTTTTAAAGAAGTCACTGACAAGGGTAAAACGCTCGTGGATTCTTCAGTGCCGGCGTGAAAATTGACCAAGACCAATACTCAAAGAGCGTACTGATGGACGTAATACAACACTGATCCGACTACGCTCTCTGAAACATCTCGTAGTCCTCCCAAAGGGACGCTATTGCAGCCCACAGAGTCAAGCTTGCCCGCGGGTGGTGCCGACGATAGCTGCCTGACTTTATCGGTACAAAGTAATGGCCATCCTACTTTTGAGGACTTGACTCACTTGAGTCCCCCGATAATTCCTGATTTGAAGAAGACCCTGCCGAGTTTGCAGTCCCAGTATGGAGTCCTAGAAAACAAGACTGAAGAACGGCTGGGAAGAAATGGAGAAGGATACCTGCGTGCAACATGCGATCGGGTCGAGAGCAAATGTTGGGCCACTATCCGCGCTAGTGGGTGGTATTTTGAAATGGGATTATGGCATGTTGTAGCAAATGGTGTTAGCTAACGTGCATAGAAATTCCATCATCGTTCACCGCTGAGAAGCTTCAATATTGCTATGAATTAGCGCCAATAATTTTGGGACACCCTGTAGTTTAAACACACTTTACTTTAGAATTATATGTACATTGCAACGCTTCTAGGGTCCGTGAAAAGCTGAATGCACTGTTGAGCCAAGGGACTTCCGGCAGCAAAACGAAAATCTCTGTGAACGACTTTATCGTAAAGGTTCTTAATTTTGCTTATTTCTTTTGCTGAAAATGTCTCAATGCTAAATAGCTTCGTCTTATTTCTCATATGTTAGGCTTCTGCACTGGCATGTTTGCGTGTACCAGAAGCGAACAGTTTTTGGATGGACACGTTTATTCGTCAGAACAACACNGTAGACGTAAGCGTTGCTGTAAGCACGCCGGCTGGATTAATTACTCCAATTGTGTTTAACGCACACGCTAAGGTATTAAATTGATTGATTCATTTTTTCAGATCGAATTTCGGCTAAGAGTTCGTATATTCTTGACTAGTTCATGAATTTCAGGGTCTCGCAACGATATCGAATGAAATCAAAGAGTTAGCTGCTCGTGCCAAGGACGGCAAGTTGCAACCGAACGAGTTCCAGGTTTTTGCTAGAATTGCATCGTATTTCACTTTCTTTAGCCTCTATCCATATTTGCAGGGAGGGACTTTTACGGTATCAAATCTTGGCATGTTCGGAAGCGTTACCGATTTCACAGCCATCATTAATCCACCGCAATCATGTATTCTTGCTATAGGTGGTGCCGAGACTAAACTAGTCCCATGTGAGGAGGAAGGGTGTGTGATTTTCCTTTGTGATTGTTTGAGTAAAACGAAATTTTTCTTTTTCTCATTTCACCTCAATCCTTCTTAGTTCTTTATTCAGTGTCAATTTCTCTGTGTTCGATGCTTAAACATTTTGTCCTAATATGCGACAGGTTAGATGAAGTGAAAAGGGACTTTACGGTAACATAGTTTTCCAAATGGTTCATTCGTCAAATTAATCCACCCCAGGTACATTGTGCAGGTAGGTTGTAAAAAGTTTTTTCAACCTGCCGTGCCGGACAACTGCCTGCTTCGAGCAGCAGAGCAAAGTCAAGAGATAAAAAGGAAGAAGTCCCTCGACGTTGATCCATCGGCTTTGGCTATGCCTCCATATTCGAGTTCCATTCGGAATCGTAGCTGAAGGTATTCGAATGCGTGTGAGACTGTACAACACCTTCAGGGGACCAGCCAGTCATTGCTTTTATCATCATGACGACCAGATACCAGCTAATGAGTTTGCGAGTGATGAGAGGCTGAGTTGGCCTGGACAAGTATCAAGCCGGGGATCAATTCCCGGCCTTTTGGTGTAGAGTAATACATCGACAAGACGGGGAAGTTCCCTGAGTTCTTCGAATATAGTTTTTCTTGAGGATTTCGTCACCAACTCGACATCTTTTCGGAGTCGTACTTTTCGTGCGTGCATTGTATATTGGCTTGACATGATCTCTTAGACGGGATTGATTAACGCCCAGAGACTTTATCCTTCATCCTTTATATCGCGTTACAACTATATGTACGTTGTGTTCATGTTAACGATTATCTTGTTCGTCGACCGCAATAGCACACTTTGAAGATCTTCAGGTAGGTGTTCGCGGACTGCTTCTCGGGGGACGGTCAAGTCGTGCGTCCGAGGGTACGCGCGGCAATTGCGCGGCGAAGTTCATACCTATTCTGACGACTTTAGCGCCTATAATTTGACCCCAATTCTGAAGTACAGCAGAATAGTAGAATCAGCTGACCTTACTTATCTATCCTACTTTAGATTTGGGCCCAATGATAAACGCCGCAGTCGTCCAAATTCGTCACGAACTTCGCCGCACAATTTGCCGCGCGCCTCTCGGACGCACGACTTGACACACATCCCCGCTTCTCATCGCATGCGCTTCGTTGCGTGCGTCCATCGAAACTAGGTCACGCCGCAGCCATCGCATGCGGCGGGCAGTCCGCGACAAACGTCGCAGTTGTCAGCGGGGCATACGAATTGCGCTTGGTCCACAAAAGTCAGTCAAGGATAAGATAACAAATACTAATCATTCGCTCCATTGACATTTGGTGGTACTGTAATGTCGTCTCAAGAACTCACCGGGGTGCGCCGCGCGCGAAGTGGGCGGGGTGACCTACTTTCAACGGACGCGCGCAGCGGACGTTCTCCCTTCTCATCAAATTGAGCCATTCTGAAACTGCAACTCTTTCTCTAAAAATTCGATGGATCATTAGAGTTCAGTAATATTAGGCAATGCAACGTTCTCACAATTACTCTTTGCTCCACAATCCAGTGTGAATTGTCTAGGGTGAAACACATCGTAATTCGAATTTCCTTCTTGAAGTAACCGCTAATTAAGCTGTGGGTATGTAAATCAGAATGTTCCATTTTCAGATACCGTAGCGTGAAAGTGATGAAAGTGACACTTTCATGTGATCATCGCGTTGTAGATGGTGCAGTTGGAGCTGTTTGGTTACGTCATTTCAAAGATTTCCTGGAGAAGCCACACACCATGCTTCTTTGAATGGTCAGAATTAGAGTCAATGATTAGGCAATAGTTTTGTTTTACTAGACCGAGTGGAATGGGCCCTAATGGAGCTGTTTTATTAGCTGATAATTACCCTCAGTAGCTGAATATTAGGCTGCATTGTTTGTCTCAATAACTACATGATTGTGATGACTTTCTAACGCTTTTATATTCTTGTTTGGTCAGTGGATTTAATAACGAGCAGTTGTTATAGTAATTTGCCTTAACATCGAAAATGTTAACTTAACGTACAGAATTTGCCCTCCGATTTCTGGATGTAAGTTTTAGACCTGATTGGATGGTGCACGATTTCGACATCAATAGCATCATTCATTTTTCTACCTAGGAACTGACTTTCAGAGATGTTGCAGGCCAGGGAATATGGGTGCACACTGAAGGTAAGCCTCTCTGGCGAAGGAGAGGATGCTTGCGTTCAGTGATTTTGTGAGATCAAGCAGTTGTAAAAACTGCTCTGGCCCCATTGAGCACCGCCATCCTGGGGTCTATCGTATGGTGATTTGCATCCCATACACTTCAAAGGAGCAAGCCGATTCACACATTTGATCCTTAAGAAGTTGAGGCTGCGACTAGTGTGGCCATTGTCGCAGCCTCAGCTTCTCAAGGAGTCAAGCGTGTATTCATGGGGGCTTGTTATGGTGAATTTTGCGAAAACGCTGTGAACGTTGTTATATACCATGCTCAACTCCAACACTTTTTAGGTGCCTGTAGATAAATAATAGTTTAATAAACTTTTTATGAAAATCATCAACCGGGTGCAAAGGAACATTGAAAACTTATATGATTCACAGCCCTTAGCGAAGTTCTTGTATTCAGGGGCTTTTACCGATGACCTTGTGTAAAAGTCGAGTTAGGTTCCACTGGTAATTGGAGTAGCCTTTCAGTACCACTGAAGGAGCCGAATGGTCTACAGAAGCCAATCGATAGATGTCAATGTTTTTGTGTGCACTTCCTCAAGAAGATTTTCGTTGAGGAATCTTGGAAAAGGACTTGCTCCGGTCAGGGTCTGATCCGATTTGAGATTCGATCATGCGTATGGTAAGAGTCATTAGGGTCCGTTTTTTTCTCATGGACAAAAATTGATGGAGTGCATGAGACTATTACTCCCAAGTTGGAACTCAGAACGGAGAGCGAGTTCTGAAGAGTGAAGAACAGGGAAGCGCTCCGAAACCTCAACCGTCTTCGAAAACAAAATCGAAGAACAAGTTGTAGGAGTGTATTTAACAGAACCTCACTATCGCTCTCATGCTGCTGCAGTACCTCCTTGCTGCCACAAATGCTACCGCTTGACCAGACATGATTGTGATGTTTCGAAGTGTGATACCCTGAACGGAGATGAAATATGTTCAATGGAGTGTAAGGGGAGTATAGAAGTGAGCAGCTCACAGTAAGATGACTATATCCGCGTCCTTTCCAAAAATACGTTTTTGGTTGAGAATTGATGCCTATACAGAACATGAGGCACCGAATCGTCATGTCAAAAATGAAGCGGAATCACAAACATTAATGCGACCAGCGTGGTTGCCTATGAGATACAAAAGTCTTTTCGCAATCGAGAGGTTCATCCGCTCGTAAGAAGATATGGAACAATGCCCATCCCGTCCATGGAAAGGGGAAGTTAGCTGGCGTTCCTGACCAAGACTAGCGGCCAGGGATCATCACGAATAAACTATCACTGCTTAATGGTGCTGTTGACACCATTTATCTCTAACAAATCATATCGGCTGTTATGGAGACAGAATACGAACTCAGTCTTGTGCATGACGCGGAATAATGTCTGTCTTCCCTGGTCGCACAGTAATCACAAACTGCCATTAGCAGCCAGCAGAAAACAAAGTTAACTGTGCAAGGTCACCCATTGCAAGAGTTCACAATAATGAGATTTAGAATCCGTTGCCAACTCGCCACGCCTGTGTTGAATTCATGCCATTGATCCGTGATCCCATTCGGCTCACTTGCAGGCCTGCAAGACAGCAAAATCCTTAGCCCGTGCAGGGGTGAAATTCGGCAGGCTGGAAAGAGACGTGACGTGACGATTGTAGGAGAAAAGACAACATTCCAGAGGAGTGCTGCCATTATATACGATGATCGTCATCGAAAATCGCTTGCACCACCAACGGTCAATTTATTCCAACCAAGTTACACCACAATGTTCTACATTGGATTCAATCGCACTATTACAAGAAGGAAACTCGTGATTAAAACTGCCCACACTTACCGTTATCGCTCAGCCCGAGGCAAATCACTGTAATTATTTTTCTTATTGTCAGTTTCCAGCTGATGTTCAGTTGTTTTCCTTTAGTTCGAGAAGTAACAAAGGAGAATACGTAGTGTACAGCGACTGTGCTTGTAAGGTACAAAGCAGCTTCAGAAAGTTATCTCTTGGAGGAATAAGTACCAACTACCATTAGCAAAGTAACTGCATAAGCTCTTGCTGAGCATCCTCCGGAACACAATGTGGGAGAGCCCCCATGAGGTATAGTTAAAAGAGCAGTTGAAACCATGAAATGCGAAATAGCTTCACGGCGATAAAGATGTTTTTCTCACATATGGAATCTGACTCGTGTGAGTTCCGCATGGCCCTGGGAACTGGAACCTTGTTCAAGAACTCACAGCGAATGGTCCAGAAAAACTTCATGAACCACTCCTGTGACTATGCGTTGTGCTCCTCGCCCCTAACACATTGCTTTCGCGAGAGTTGGAGTTGTTGTGATGGCTCACTCGCAGGTACACGGTATGCTTAATGCAAGAGTAAGGGTTGCATATGTTCTGTTGGTGGGAACGAACTACGCCATACTGTGCGGCCACGTCACTATGTCCAAGGAGTGGGCGAGGTTGCTCTATAAGAAGGAAAACTGCTACGAGTTACTTTTCGCAAAAGTAATGCGAAGATGGTCACTCTACGTGGATGGTGCGAGTAGTTGAAGAGCCGAGAATGTAGTAGGGTGAGGATAGTTCCTGACGCAGTAATGAGAAGTAGAAAATGAATACGAAAAGCTAAGTTGTCACTTCAAGTAAAGGAATGGATTCCAGAGGTTGATGATTGTTGAATGGTTTAATAAAGCTTTATTGAATGGCCATGTGGTCAACGAAATAAAGAGGTAGTCTGCAGTAGTTCTGAGCTAAGCATTTTGAGCTCACGGCAGAAGAAAAAACAACGAGAAGTGACTGAATAAGTGGTGGCGTGCGAAACAAGAAAACTCCTAAATATCTTGCCAACATACTTTGGCAAAGAAACTGCACATGGAGGATATACTCGAGTTGTGGGCAATTCATGCGGAGCTGCGAAATGGCTGAAGTCAACTGTACCGAAAAAAATAGCCTCAATATAAAGCCATGTGACATATCATCAAAATCTGTGGCGGCAATTCTCCCCGAATTTGCATGGTAAGCGACAGTGGTTTCATGGCGGTTATCATGCCCTTCCACTTGGAATTTGAAGCTTTCACCTTCTTAAAACGCGACTGCACGCAGTCGGTGCGTCGTGGAGAACTAGCCACACCCCATCAAAACCTTCAAAGGTCAAAGGAACTTCACGGCTTGTGTCTCTTCCGCAATCAGAGAAGTGACGATATCAGGAAGCTCGTCGTAAAGGAAGCGGAGGTAGCAACCCATAATCAGCTACCTGGTCACGACTCACACTGTCACGAAGATGCAGCGCATGCGAGGGAAGTCGACGTTCATCTGGCGTATTTGCAGCTAAAAAAACAAGAGGTTCAAGACTTCACCTATCAAACTAGACTTATTTGTGAGTTCCATGTCAGACACATTACACAATGGTAGAGACCGGCTGCTTTCGTGTTAGGTGGGTCTCCTTTTCCAAGCATATGGGAGAGAGACTTCATTTCTACATAAAGTCCCTCCGCACCTCCCTTCACATGCTTAAGAGGTGATCTCGTTAAGTTTCTTATGGTTAGTTGCTGACCTCTCTGCTGGGTTCAGCTGAAGTAACGTCGATTCTACGAATCAGAAACATTATTCTTACTACTACACCCACAATCGTCAAAATAGCCACACGGATTGAAAGAAATCAAAATATGTCACCTTAATCATTCTTATGCTATGGAAGCCGTTAGGTTGTACAGAAAGTGTAATAGCTGTCGAAAATATCGCAGCAACCCAGATTTCTACTGAGGCGGGGATAGTCGAGAGTGTCGCGTCTGCACTCAAAGAAGAACATATGTTTGGTTCCTTTGCAACCACAGCAAAAGCTATGCCTTGTGAGGAATTTGCAAAAATGCTGCCACCAGCGTTATCCCCGGGTTAACAGACGGGCTGATGGATCAAAGTGGTCACAAAAAATGTGTCTCTCGACTCAAGTGTTCAGTACGCGCACAGCACCACAGCACAGCACCTCCCCTTCCCGAGTTCGGTGGATAGTTAGGACAACCGAGTAAACGACTCCGCCAAAGGAGTTAGTTCGAACTAAGAGTCTGATCGTGGGTCTGATCCATGGGCAATTCGCGTGAGGTTGTTGAACTTATGAAGAGCGAGAACGTGGTTTTCCTACACCTACAGGAGGCACGTTGGAATGGAGCAAAGCTCAGAGAATTGAAGGAGTGTCAAGCTTTACCACTACAAAAGGCACTGAACGAAGTGGCCGAAGCAGTAGCGGAGTTTCTCAAAGATTCTGTTTCCGTTATCAACAGAATTGGCGCTAGATCAGGACTTGCTTTTGGTCAGAAATGGGTCATTCATTTCGAAAGAGGAATGAAGAGCCATATTGGGCGCTACGACTGATTGTGAGTAGCAAGGAAGAGGGGAGCCCGGCGTAAGCCGCGCGATCTGTATGAACAAAGTTTGTGCATGCGCCCCTGCCCTGCCCGTATGTGATTGTCTAACACGGATATCACTATTTCATTGCTTTTCGAGAGTTTGACAAAATAGGATGTTGTCGTGGTTACTTCGCGATCGTTATGTCGATCGGTAACGATTCCACAAGAACAGTTGATCAGTTATTCGATGGAGAAACCTGTGTG